TTGATATGGATATAATGTGCTGCTTCTGCACCCCCTCCCTCTCCTCTCTTCATTCATAAATGCAGGAGATTGGATACACTCAAAAAGTCGACAAGGGTGCAGGCAATGAAGAGCTAGAAGATTACCACCCCATTGATCCAGTTCCAAGTTCAAAGGCATCAGTAAGACCTGGACCTATTCAGCATGGCACACCTCTTATGCCTTATATCCCAAAGCCTTCACCTCCTGGTAATCCAAAGCATGGTGGTTATCCTTCGCCTACTTCCGAGCCCATTCCATGATGGCTATGCCACAAAAAAAAATAAGAATCAATGTATTAAATTCTTAATTAGTTTCCACATTGTGTTTGAATCATCCTGTCATTGCAAGCATACATATCTGTATGCTGTACACTTTCTGTTAGTTTTGTAAGTGGCTTCTTTTGTTTTGTGAATGTCCTTGTTCTAGTGACTTTGTATGTCTATCACCACATATCTGTATGATGTACACTTTCTGTTAGTTTTGTAAGTGGCTTCTTTTGTTTTGTGAATGTCCTTGTTCTTGTGACCTTGTATGTCTATCACCATATAGACTTCAGCTCCCTTCATGCTTGATGAATTCATTGCACAATTTTGTGGTGAGGAAGCCCAATCAATTCACACCTCCACCAGATGTATTTCTTCTAGCTCAATCTCTTGGCTCTGCCTTTTATTTTTTTGGGATTACTAAGAATCATTCGGTAATCGGATCCATCCTTTGGACTCATTGTTGATAAGTAAAGAAACTCAGGATGTTCGTAGAAACCACTAGAAAATCAGACGCATCAGCTCAACCAGTACGATTGTTTCAACACTCGAACTTGAAACTCGAGAAAATAACTACTCAAACTCTACCATCCAAGCTATCATAATAGGTTCTCTTTCCCTACTTTTTAATGGAACCGGGCAGGGTCATAATAAAGATGGGAAAAGGAAACCAACTCATTTTTGTAGTCCCTACATTCCAACTTTCCCTTTTTCAGGAATTGAAAAGTAGGAAGGAGAATCAGAGCAATAAAAGAACAATAATGTTAGATTGACCAAATTTTAGGATCAAATTTGGAGCTCAAATGACATGACAGTTGACTTGAACTTCTTTGATTGGTGTCATGTCATTTGAGCCCTAATAAAAACTTCAAATAATCAACTGTCATGTCATTTGGTCTACAAATTTAATTTCAAAATTTGATCAGTATAGCACTACTTATAGAAAAATAGGACCAACTTCGAGGGTAATTAAAGTTGTAATAAGGGCGAACTATAAATCAAAATATTTTGGGGTCGAATTTTAGCAATTCTGGGGCATAGTCATGTGGGATTTTATCCCTTGTGAATTCTTTAGTCTCGGTGTAGATGACCTGTCTTTGATCGAACCGAGAAAAACATTAAACAAAATATTAAATTGACCTGAATAATCTTAACCATTAAACTAAAAAGAAAGAAAGAAAGAAATGCGACTATACATAAATCAACTCTCCAAAGCCTAAGATCAATTTCATTGTGGGCCACCATACTTGAGAGATTCAGAACATCATGAAAATGAAGTTTTGGCTAGTTAAACATAAATTATAATATGAAGTGATGATCAAGTGAGGATGCTTTCCAACTCCTAACTACCATCATTTGTCAATGAAGGATGGCTTAACTGAATATAATACTTATTAAGTTATTAAAACCTGACCTAGATAGATGATGTTATATGGACCCCAGATGTTGTCCTATATATTATTATTTTTTTTCTAAGGTTAATTCCATTCACCTCCCCTGCATTTTTCCATATAAAAATGAAACTTCCAATAGTATGGATAATCACATCCCCTCTAATTCGGTTATCGGTAACAGATTCCCCTATTCGTTATCGTACCGTTAGAGAATGTCAAAGTTTGATAATGTGAAGAATTCATTTTTTTTAAACATATAACCCATAAATCACATCCCTATAACATCAAATATTTTCATAATTTATCGCCACGGGTTTTTAATCCACTTCACTTACTACTTTATCACACTCGTTATCCATGTAACGGGTTCACTTCTAGAAATCAACCTCTACTTAAAAGATAAGGTTGTCTACCACTATCTGAAACTCTACTATAAGTAATAGTTTTGTACACGACTATAGGCTCCAAATGAGTATTGGAATGCTTGTAATAAATAAATAAAAGAGTTATCATCCAAACTGTGCCTACCACCTTGAATAGTGCCTAAAAAAGGTTGCACTTTACTGAACCTGAGTGCTTTGCCAGTGCATTAATGTATAGATCTGGGACCTAAATGAGCAAAGGCTAACATGCAAAGAAAAGGAGAAAAGGAGAAAAGGAAGAAGCAAGAACACAGAGAGACAACAGGGGACAGCACCCAAGAGAGATGCTTTCAGTTAGCTTTCATATCATAGTTTGGTAATGTGGCTTCTCTTTAGTTATAGAAAAATGATATTTGGACAGGCGTAATTAATCATTCTATTGGATTAACAATGGGTGTTAGTATTAGTTGGGATCTATTACTCATTTAATGGTTTTGATGCATTAGATTAGCTAATTATGTCAGTAAATTAGGTTCAAATATTATTGTTCAGTTAGTTATGTAGAAAAGTGGAATAACTTAGTGGAGATAGGGATGAACAGTAAACTTAGACATCCTGAGTTCAAATATTGGCAACTTCCTTACACTCAGAGCATGAAAGATTTATCACTCGTGAATTCCTTAATTCGAGTGTGAATTGTCTGCTTTTGACTGAACCGTTAACCTAGTCCAGACACCCTTGATAGTAATAAAAAAAAATAGTGGGAACTTTAAGTTTCTTGCATTGCCGGATTAATAATAATAATAAAAACTTTGGTCTCATACCTGAGAATTGTTGTGGGATTATTTAACAGGTAATTATGTCTTGTTAGTCTGTTTAGTCCTAATTCATTATGTATTGCTTTGAGAGGGGCTACTTGTTCGCTGTTGCTCACTCACCATCATGCTTATGTAGACCCTTCTTTTTTGTTTATATGTACTTATGTAGCCTACCCTATAAAGTTTTGCTTCACACTTTCTTCGACATTAACCCAACATAGGATAAATTGAATTAAGAATAAATCAAATTGCCCTCTCTAAGTAAGTTTGTCAACAAATCAGATTGGGATTGAATTTCGACTAAATGCGAATCCGTTCCAAACATCCATCCCCTTTTTGTATTCGTAGTACATATCTAAAATCATTAAAAAAACTAAAAATTTTATATGATCTAAATGACTCATTTAAGGTTGAATTTTAAAGAAGTATACATGAATCTTAACTCGTATTCAACAAATAATCACTAAATTATATCATAGTGAAATCCAATAATAATGGATCGGATGTTTACTCCATCAAATTCTTTCTAATGACTTCGAATTCGGGTTATCGGTCATCAATATCGATCTATACTTGACTAATCGAATAGAAATCCGGATCAAAATTCATTTTATTCACCTCTAAGTAGACTAAGCTTTTAAGCTGCTCATGCAGAATCAAGGTTACAAAATGTGGAAATGATCTATAGTTTTCCTAAAGAATGCTTTCCCATAAGTGTGTGAGAATAGAATATCCCACTTGTTTTAAAGCTTTACTGTTCACTATTTAGGATATTAAAGTTCATAACCGGTGGTTTAGTGGTCACATTTGTCTTTTTGTAAGTAAGAGGTCTTAGACTCGATATTTTTCATATTTTTTGAGAGTCAATCACCCTTATTCTTCAAGAGATGTGTCCTTAAACTAGCTCAACTTACAGTGGTTAATCTCAAAACTCAAGAGATATTAATCAGTGTAAACTTAAACAACGTGGTAACAACAACAAAAAAAAAAAAAAGATATTAAAGTTCATTCCAGTAATTTATTCCTTTCAGATGATAACGCAGAGAAAAAAAAAACGAAAAGCTTATTGATGTTTACTTGCAGAAGAAGGAATAAACTTTAGAAGCGGTCCTTCCATTCCATAGGATGATCGTGCACGTGATCACATGTTTACATCCATTTTGTCTTTTTGATTTGAGAAATCATCCTTCCACTACTACAACATTGTTCTCGAATTTAACATCTAAATTTTGCAATTCTTTTTTTTTTCTTTTCTAATTTAATTGTTTAATTAGTTTGTCTGAGGTTTGCAATTGGTTAAATAACTATCGTTATGTTGTCGGACTTTAAAGTCACGAGTTTGAACTTCGTCGTCTCCGTTTTCTGTAATAATGCCTAACCTAAAAAAAAAATAATAATTTGTCTGACTAGTGCTCATGATATTAATCGGTAATCCCTCCTACTGTAAGGGGTAGAACCCTCTACTAAAGATTTCGGATTGCCTTAGGAAAGAGTCCTATTGGCGAAGAGAGGTAAAGGCTACTGGGGGGTCGCCCGTGTGGGTTAACCCAGGTCAAGCCGAAATCCTTAGTAGAGGGTTCTACCCCTTATTGATCAGGTCGCTCCTCCATAGGAAGTGTTCACTTATATGGCAGGGGGGAGACGACTCTCAAGCCGAAATCCTTAGTAGAGGGTTCTACCGCTAGTGGGTACCTCCTCCATAGGAAGTGTTCACTTATATGGCAGGGGGGGAGACGACTTTCTTCCGATATGGAATTGCCTTAGGAAAGGGTCCTATTGACGAAGAGAGGTAAATGCTACTGGGGATCGCCCGTGTGGGTTAACCCATGTCAAGCCGAAATCCTGTGTTCACTTATATGGCAGGGGAGAGACGACTCTCTTCCGATGTGGGATTGCCTTAGGAAAGGGTCCTATTGGCGAAGAGAGGTAAATGCTACTGGGAGGTCGCCCGTGTGGGTTAACCCAGATCAAGCCGAAATCCTTAGTAGAGAATTCTACCCCTTACACCTACAATCATGAATTAATTTAGATTCACTCAAGACTCAAGAGATGATATGCAAATCGATAACATCCAAAATTGATTAATGATCAATAATTTTATTTCAACATAATTCATGAACTTAATTTGCTGAAAACAATTAATTGTCATGGTTAGACTAGACAATAGTGGACTAGATCAACGAATTTGATATGCAACAGTCCACATTGAGTTAGGGGTACTAGTATGGTTACCGAATCTTTTTAGTGAAAATTTCAGCCACATTCCTCTTAGTTTAAAGACACCTCTTCTATTATCAAAAATATCATTAACACCTATTTTAGTTTAATTTAAATATCACTAATACTCCTTACCATTAAACTACCATTTCTAACAAAAATTTTTTTTATCTAAAACACCAAAAATGGCCTTACATAAACCTCAAGTAATTTTTCTAGATAAAATTTTATTAAAATTCGAACTGTTAAAATTTTAAAAAAAATTTGTAAATGACAATTTTAGTAAATAATTTGTTAGTAAATACTAATTTTTTATTTACTATTTCTTAAATTTTTTAAAAAAATCGAGCCTATTAAAATTTGAGTCGATTTGAATTTTATCCGAATTGTTAGCGCCGATTAAAATTCTCTTTTGAGTCGATTAAAATTTATATATTTTTATTTATTAAAATTCGTGTCAATTAAAATTTGAGTCGATTAAAATTTATATTTTTTATGCATTAAAATTTGGACTGATAAAAATTCAATGCGAGTTAATTAAAATTTGATTTGAGTCGATTAAAAATAATTTTTAATTGACTTAAATAAAATTTTAATTAGTCCAAATTTTAATACGTAAAAAAAATATAATTTTTAATTGGATCAAATTTTAATATGTAAAAAAATAAATTTTAATTAAGTTGAATCGAATTTTAATCGGCTCGAATTTTAATACGTAAAAAAAATTAAAAAACAGAGGATGCCTCGTTAAAGATATACTTATGTAGAGAGGATCTCATTGAAGATATACTTATCTAAATGAAGTGTGAATGAAATTTGTCTCCAAATATATTATGAACAATTTAGTAAAATTACATTATAGTTAATATTTTTAATTAATATGAGGTGTCACTGAAGATTCAAAAAATAAAGAGAATGTCTTTAAAAATATAGTAAATTAGAGGGGGTGTGATTTAAATTTTTCCATCTTTTTACTATATCTCTATCTCAAATGATGTAACACATTTTTTAACAATCAGATAAGTAGATTCTATTAATATTCAATGACAAAAATTATACCACATAATTTAAAATAAAAAATTTAATAAGAAAATCTGATAAACATCACATTTTTCTTTATTTAGTTAACAAAATATTGGGCACATAACAATTCGCTATTTTTTTTAATAAGGGAGACTTCTCCTAATAAACATAACAACTCTCTCAACATGGCAGTTATGCTCTCAAATCTTCACCTAATTGGCGAGAAAATACTGTCTCTCTCGTGTATATTCCCGTCAACTTTTCGTAACGGTCATATTTCCGATCGCTTTCACACTCTAATCCTAACCTCTCTTTTTCTCTATCATCTACATGCAGTCATTCAGTCTCAGTCTCAGTCTCAGTCTCAATCTCTCTCCTATCTATCTCTAAATTTAGCTTAGCGATTTTGCAGATTGAACGTTTGGGGCAAGAAATTGAGTTGGTGATCTGAATAAAAGCCTGACTAGTGAGTAATGTGAAGAATAATGATGGCTGCTGTGTCTACGACCCCAAACCCTAAGGTCTCGACTTACTCGAACCCGAAGAGGTCTCCATTGTTACCTTCCGAGGCCCAGAATGCTCCTCGAAGACCTGAATCCAGAGAAGTCACTTCTCGCTACATGTCCTCTAATTCTTCGTCTTCAACGACGTCGTCCTCGGTAACCTCTAATTCGTATTCCTCATCTTCGAATTCATCGTATTCGAGGCGGTGTCCATCGCCGTTGGTTTCTAGACCAGTTCCGGTGACGCCAATGCCGAATTTGAGTAAGAGGTCTCAATCGGTGGAGCGGAAACGGGCGGTGACTCCTCGGCCGATTACACCTGAGATGTCGAATGCGGCGAAGCTGTTGGTGACTTCGAGGAGGAGTTTGTCAGTTTCGTTTCAAGGAGAGTCGTTTTCGCTTCCGATTAATAAAGCAAAGCCGACAGTGAATAGCATCAGTAGTATGAGGAAAGCCACGCCGGAGAGGAGGAAAGCGGCGCCTGTGATAGATCATACGGAGAATGCGAGGCCGAGTGATCAGCATCGGTGGCCGGGCCGATCACGGCAAGTGAATTTGAATGTTACGACTAGGAGTATGGATTTCGCGGATGAGAGGGCAAAATTGCGTGGATCTGGAAGTGCTAGGGCATTGCAAAAATCCATGATGGATGAGAGTACTAGAGTTACTATTGATGCTAAACTAAGACAGGAGAGACACAATGCTGAGCTTGAAAAGACAGTTCAGCCTGTTGCCGAACCAAATCTACCTACTGGATCAACTGAAATTTCTGATCCAGCAGCTTCGGATAGTGAAAGTGTTTCTTCGGGAAGTAATTCAGGTGTGCAAGAATGTGGTGATGTTGCTCAAGTGAAAGGAGGCCCACGTGGCATCGTGGTTCCGGCTAGGTTCTGGCAAGAGACTAATGTCAGGCTCCGGCGAGCGCCTGAGCTTGGTTCACCAGTGTCCAAGGACAATAGATTGAAACCCACTGTATCGGCAAAATCGATTGGGACGAAACAATTGTTAACTGATACTCTAATATCATCACCTCGAGGGATTTTAAAGAGTAGGGGGTTATCGTTTCCTCTTGGAGTAGGTGCTAGGCCAGCGTCGCCGAGTAAGACGTTAACTTCTTCTACGTCTTCTCCGTCCAGGGGGATCCCCAGTCCGACCCGGACAAGGAATTGGTCAGCGAGCTCATCGAATACTAATGTGATGAGCACACCATCAATTTTGGGTTTTGCTGCTGATGTTAGAACAGGAAAGTTGGGGGAGAACCGAGTTGTTGGTGCACATGAACTGAGACTGTTATATAATAGGTATTTGCAATGGCGATTTGTAAATGCAAGAGCAGATGCTGCCTTGTTTTTACAGAAAGTGACAACAGAGGTATAACTCCTTGACTTTACATCCCATTGTTCTGAATATGTGGAATTTTATATTCTTCTGTGAATCTGTGCAGCAGAACTATGAATTCACATCTCATATTTCAGAATATGTTGACTTTTATGTTCTTATCTGCAACTCTGTTGATGCCTAGCATAGTCCCAATAATTATCTGTAGAATAAACTGGAAATTGGTGTGTAACCTAAAAATATAAACTGCTTTTGGTCCATTCTTATTCAACATATCTCTTATGAGCTGTAATTATAGCTTGGCTTTTGGGGTTTTATTCTTCTTATATCCACTTTTATGTATGAAACAAATTGGAATTACTTTGTTCTGCATGTTTGCCCTTTAAATCGATTTTCTATGCATTCATAATAAATATTGCGATCTGCTTGACTTGTTAGCAAAGATGAATGAATTTGCAACCAGAGAGTTTTGTGTTGATCATCATCTATAAATCACTTTCTTTTCGTTTAATTGTAATCATTTTCTTCTTAAATACTTATGGGCCTGAACAGTTAGATAGATAATGTGATGCATTATGTGTGGCAAACAAAGATGAGTGGCAGTCTGGAAAATGAATACCAATGCTTACATATGAAATATAGTTTGTGATAAATGCTTGTGTGCCTGGAATATGTGACGCATGGTTACTAGAGTGGCTAAACAAAGATGTGGCATTGTTGATTGCGAATGCGTATGTAATAACATGTAGGCTTCTAAGTCTTGACATAACAGTAGTAACTTTTATGTTTTCCAGCATTAGCTCTAATGAAAGCATAACTAATGTTCAATAGTTGGAACACTATTTTTTCTCTGACATTATTGTTTTTCATGGTTTGACAAATTAAGAAAAGTAATTAGACAATCCTATTTAAAACCACAATATTTGTAAACATAAAAAAGTAGGATAACTTACTTTGTGCTCAGCAGAGGGAAAAAGTTACTTACACTGTAGCTAATCCGGTCGCTTTTATATTACATGTTGAAGTTTTGGGATAGATATTAACTACATGCACTTGGTTGTATCAGAAAAGCTTATATACTGCATGGGTGACTACCTTGAAATTGAGGCATTCTATCAAATCCAAAAGAATCAAGTTACAATTGTTGAGGAAAAATTTGAAGCTACACTGCATCCTCAAGGAACAAGTAAGTTTGTGATTCATCATTGTTATGTTTTTATGTTGCTTCCTGGCTTCAATGATATTTTGGCCTTAAAATTCTTTTCCATAGAGGTACATGTCATAAATTAATCACATGATGAACTCTTTCTTGCTACGTTTTCTTGGTTGCTTCTGTTATGTTGCCATGTGCTAATAAGATAGAGAAACAAGGAGTTGTTTCTCACAATCTGTTTTAATACTTGACCCTTTGACCTTGAGCATCATACCAGGACTGATTCATCCATCTATGGTTCTCCGGTAGAGAACTGCAAGATTATTCTGAGAAAAAGTTTTGTCATCACATACGCACTGTGTGTCGTATCTACATAGTTGGCAGCCTAAGTGCTATTCCACAGTCCAGTTGTTAAATATCTTGACCTCAATTGTGTAGTTAGGTTTTACATTCTTAATGGTACAGCGTGACGTATGCAATATTGCAAGTTGACATTGTTGTTTATAATACCAGTCTGCTAGATCAATGATTTGGATTTGGTTTTGGATTTGGATCTGATGTATCCGATGCATGCAGATGCTATATTTGGATAGTTGGGATCTGATTGGCTGGGAACACTCCAGTTCCTTATCAGGGGCTATAGAAGCTTTGGAGGCCTGCACTCTCCGTCTCCCAGTTGTTGGTGGGGCAAGGGTATGCTTGTGGGTTGTGATTATATTTCATAAATGAGCATTTAGATCTTAGTTTCCTGTCACGTTGGTTATCTGGCCAGGCATGTATGGTGCTTAAGAACTTTTGCTGGTTACAATTTACAGGCTGATATCCAAAATGTGAAAAAGGCTATTTGTTCAGCAGTTGATGTGATACAGGCCATGGCATACTCGTTGCACTCTTTGCTAACAAAGGTTCTATATTTAATCTTTTGGGTTTTCTGCTAGACTTTGATTTATCTCACAACAAACTGGTTAATTTTATATTGTTAAAAATTTCAAAGCAATAAGTCACATGTTAGCATATGTTAGCATAGGTCTCATAAGTCACCATGTTCTCTTTTCTTTTCCTTTTTTTTTGGCCCCACACCCCATTGGCTATGTGTTTGTTGCTTAGTATCAGTGACAAGTTTTTGAATATTTGTGGCCACTTGAGAGCACATGGACGTCACCATTCAGAATCCCAAGCAAAGAGTGCTTTAATTCTTGGCGAATTATACAAATAAGAAGTCCAAATTAGGTTAGGTTCCAATAGCAGGAATATGTACAAAGAAGGTTTTATGATCTCAATGTGAAGCTTATTAATCACTTGTGACAGCATTCTGATCTTAAAAGGATTCTGTTAACTTTTCGAGTTCTCTGGCCATCTTTGTTGCAAGTTATTTTGTCGATACTTCCCTTCTATGTTTTGTAGTAGGTTGCTCTGTTTATAGTAAGAGTTAAGCCCAATCTCCAACCTAGAAGTAACACTGATAAGATAATAATCTTAGTTAAAACCTGACCATTAGATTTCCCTATTGTTCTTGTGCTGGGTTGCGTTGAATGTGTCTTCACCAATTTTGCTTTAACAGGTTGAGCCAGTGAACTCATTGGTATCTGAGCTAGCAAATGTAATTGCAAACGAGCGTGGTTTACTTGATCAAGGCAAAAACCTTTTGTCTACATTAAAATCCATGCAGGTAAGGGTGGAATTTGGTTTTCCTTCAAAGCTCACATATAAAGAAGATAGATCAAATGTTTTTGGATTTTGCAGGAAGCAAATTCTGATTGTAAAATTACTGTAATTTTTTTATGATTGTATTCATGTACATATTGGTCTTGTAAAATGCGGTGATGATATATTGGAAGTGTTCCGTGTCAAGAACTGACAGAAGTTATGAATCCAGGTCCAGGATTGTAGCCTGAGAACACATATATTACAATTACGACGTCTGTCCTCAAGCATGACAACAGAAGTGTAAAGCTGATGATATTTGACCACTTACTTTAAATGCTAACATCACGTCAATTTCCTTTTTTTCCTGGCACCATGGAAGCATTGGTGACAAGGTAAGAATCAAACAGTTGTTTGTGGCTTGTGATAGCTGAAGAGTGCTCCTTTTCGTCTTCTTCAGGATCAGTGGAAAGCAGCTCAATACAGGTTTTTTTTCTCAATTTCAAATTAGGTTGTATACAGGTATTTGTTCTATAGGTGTGGGGTGAACATATGTAAATATTTTGTGATGTTACCATTTTATCCCTCATTCAATGGCGCCATTGTCCAAGTTTTGTTTTGGCACTTTGCATTCTTATACTTGCTGTTTTAATGCTTCTTTTGTGTATGTATTCACCATAGGCTGCAACTCCGGTATAGTTTGCGTAAATATCTGTAATGCATAGTGCTGTTACTTAATAGATCACCCTTAGAGTCTTATTCGACTATCTTGTTAAATAGACCTTCTTTACTCGTTTCTTCCCACTTTCCTGATACCTAATTTGTGACCAGTTGATTTAGTCTTATCCTGAGCTGTCTTGGTTGGTAGTATCAATTGTTTCTTCGAACAAGCAAAATAAGGCAGCTAGCACAAATATGTTGACTTTCCCATGAGGAAGGGACCATTTCTGGAATATGTCATATTTTTGGGTCAAATTCTAGTATTGAATATTTTAGAATTTAAAGTCCTAGTTTTAGTTAATTTTAGTTTTCTAATTTGTAGGGATCTAGTGTCTTTGAACTTCTAGAGATTTTAGAATCCTAATCTTTTGGGATTGGGATTACTTAGAACTCTATATATAGTTAGTGTTACTTTTAATAATAGAGGGAGAGAGATATTCAGAATTTTGAGCAATAACATGTTTCTTGAGTTGTGTGATGTAATTCTAATCCTAGGTGTGATGGAACCCTAGGAGTGATTCCTAACCAAATTTACTATTCAAGCTATTGTTCACAGTCTCATTACTGTTCACGAGTACTGTTCACAGTCCCTGAATAGCCTCTAAACAGTCCCTATTTTTTATTTTACAAAATTGTCCTACATCACAAGGTTTCAGATTGTGTCCAATAGGCTGAGATTTGTTCAAATTGTTAGCTGAATCGAAGTTAGTTCGATTTCTAAGTTTATTTTGTAAGTGAGTCGAATTTAAGAAATGCACTTGGTTTGATTTGATTCAATTAGGTTCTTGTGTATAAATAATTTTAATTATATTGTTTTTAGATAACCCTATCTAGAAGATCAACAATCTCAAATTTATCCCATATTGCTTTAGACTTATTTGTTATCTCTTCTCTGATACTTTTTTTGAGCAATATGAATATCTAGGGGTTATTGGTTGTTTCAGGATTGATAATTACTTCAGTTGTTGGATTGATTTTTGTAAAAAAAAAAAAACTAAGCACTAGTCAAGTCAAGCTTTCTGAGCTTGAACAAAAATTTGAACTCCAAGCTGGGATTGAGTTCGAATTTGACCAATCAGTATTGATCCAAATTTAAGGATATTTAAGCTCTATAAACCCATACTTGGTTGAGGCGATTATTGAGTACAGCATGACGAGAGCACAACTTGGTTTATTGAAACTTCGACCCAAAAGATCACCAATATTGACTTGATCCCTTCCTTCTACCCATCTAGAAAGTCTTGCTGTACAGTCATTTAAAACCTAGTACGTGAAGAAGGTTCTCGGAAAAGATCATTTGTAAGTTGAAAATTTTCATGCTTACCTAAAACTTATTTTGGTCACGGATTGAATTATTAGAGCATCACGACTGAGTGGGGTGGTCTAGTGGGGTACCGATCAATCTTCTCAGATTGAGGTTGGATATTCAAGTCTTAGAGTTTACGTTGGAGTTCGGTAGTCGACCGTTATGCTAACCTAGTTAGGTTTATTTCTGAGAGGAGTAACGGATGTGATCGCTTCATAATCTCACCAGTAATGACCGGGTTGTCACTGAGTACTCTTTTTTTTTCCCACTATTTTTACCCAGCCAAAAACAAAAATTATTAGAGCATCCATTGAACTGTCAGAAGTCAACGATGAATTTGGAATTTTTTTTTCACGCGTCACTTTGAACTCTGTTTCTTACCTATCCAAAAAAAAAAGAAGAGTTTTTTGTGTCTTTGTTAGGTTGTTCTTGCCTCGTCATTGGTAATTCTTGATAATAAAATTTTAATATCCACGTATCAAAAGAAAGATAATTCTTGAGCATATCCTCAAAAAATAAAATTATCTTTGGCAACTCGACAGTTTCAAAGGTTTAAAGAATATTATCCAGTATAGATATTGGAGCGCACGTGTCTATATGCATTCTGATGATTTGTGTGGAAAAAAGAAGAAAAACTCTAGCATTCTTATGAGATGAGCATGTAACGTGAGATACCCACGTGAAGAAACTAGGGAGTATTCTACACCTTTGAGCAAAAAAATGTTCACCCACAATTCCTCAGATGTCACGTTTTGCACTACCCTTTTAAGTTCGTAGATGGGGAGTTAAAAAGGCCGATACATATGTTTAATGTCGATTTACTTGAAGAGATGGGTAGGATCAATAGGTGGGATGAAATGACTCGAGCTACCTATTAACTGTTAGGACTGACCAGTGAATGTGTGAAGTTAATCAAAAGAAATATATAAAATGACTCATTTATATATCAGTTATTTACAATTCATACACGACACGAACCCGATATGACACGATTTGTTAGACACCAATTCATAAACGAATAAGGAATGTGTGGAATACTTTTTGACACGAACCTACTAAGACCCGACATGAATCTACCTCAGTCGACATGATTAACAAGCCTAACTTGAACCATTAACTCCTTGTACCTTGGGAGTCCCTCTAGATCCCTATTACGCACAGTCCACTTGGCAGTGAGCCATACATTGAGAGGTCTACTCAAGAAGACTAAACCTTTAAGATCCTATTCGAAATCGAGATTAACAATCGTACTCGTCCGTCTCTACTGCCCAATTCTCCCTCAATGAGGGTCATATTTCCCTATCTCGAAATGGGGACTCCTCCTCTTAGTCCCTTAGGCTAGTCGAGTAACAGTATACTATCATTTGACTTTTACCACTACGAACATTTAATCAATGAGGGTCATATTTCCCTATCTCGAAATGGGGACTCCTCCTCTTAGTCCCTTAGGCTAGTCGAGTAACAGTATACTATCATTTGACTTTTACCACTACGAACATTTAATGGGTTATGTGGGTTCTCTCAAGTGGTCTTGTTACGAGGGCACCCCTTAGAGAAAAATATGAACTTGAAAATCCACACACGTTGCGGCAAGCATTTTAGGGGGGCTTCTAAAACTGGTGGTTAGACTTGAGCTTGTCAGTCTTCTTATACACTGTTGACTACAATATGATATTGGGTACGTAAAATATTCAAACTATGTATGTATCATTTTATATGTGTTCATAAAAAATAAAAATTAAAATTAAAATGTAATGTCACGTCGATTGTAATAAGAATTTCAGGGTAAAGTCTCCTCTTTACAATTAGAAAAGTAGACATTGATGATGCACAAATTGGGTTTGTACACCATCTATCAATTGAACAGTAATAAATGCAATAATTAAAGTAGAGAAAGATAATAAGCGAGGTGAGACAAGGGTTATAGTGGTTCGGTCAATGTGACCTACGCCCACTTTGAATGACAAGGGTTATCGGGTACTTTATTACTTCAAGAGTGTAGGGAGAGCAGAAAGTTACAAACTTAGAGAGGGAGAGGAGAGTTGTGCTCGACAGAGTGTGATGCCCCCCAAGTGTTGGTGGGGCTTACAATTTATTATCATCCTCCTAACAGATTTGGGCGAGATATTAGTAACTAGTTGGCTAGTCTGTTGGATTTGGCGACCTCCTCTTAACGGGCGAGGTAGTTATGGTGCTCTCCATGAGATTCGGTCAAAAGATGAGGTAAGAGTTAAATATTTTTCAGGCGGCGAGGATGAGACTCTTAGATGACCCTGCATGCTCCCCTACTAACGTAGCTCCTTAAACTTGATAATCTTGACCAGGTGTAGAGTATTTTGGACTTGACTTGCTAGACCTCCTAAATTTGGGCTATTAATTCAAATTAGGCTCATAACATGGGTTGGGCTTTTGGACTTGACCCATCATTTGCCCTCAATGCCCTGTGCCCAATGGAACCTGGAGAGGAGGGCATTCAGTTGAGCTTGAATTTTGGTTGAACATATCACTAGAAAAACTTCGGGAGGCCAAAATATATGCTTCTAAACATTTTTTAGGCTTTTAATAGTGGTTACCATCGTCAAAGGCATTGAATTTTGTAGGGCTCACCAAGAGTTTCGATTTGACATATTATGGGCCCCGTTTGGAGTTATAGATCAAAAGTTACAGTCAAAATAACGTGCAACCTTTTTTAAATCCGAATTTCTTGAAGACCCCTTTTGATTGGCGACCATTTTCCTTCCAATTGACTCATTTTGCTTGTGGGAGATCATTAGCTATATAAACTCTTTCTTTTACTTTCTTTTTGGATTCTTGAAGAGCCTTAGGCTATAAATTAAAGTTTTTTGCTCTTTCCTTGATTTCAAGAGATCCTAGGTATTAATAGGGAGTTTCTTCCCCATTCCATAGAAATTTGAGAGAGTGAAGAAGAGTGCTTTTCTTGAAATTCTTCAAGAACAAAAACTTCTTGAGTCCAACACTTAGAATAATGTCGATTGAAGAAGATGAGGCGCAGAGGTTTGCGAACCTTGGTGAAGAACTTGAAGAAACTGATGTTGTTCTTGAAAAGGAAAGGGATGAGGCGCTGATTTGAGGAGCTTAGGCGAGTAGGGAACTTCGGGAGTTTGGGCAAACAGGCCTTGTTGGGGAGTCCAGGAGACCAGTCTGCTTGGGTTAAGGAGGTGATTTGGCGTGGTGGGGAGGCAGCCCAGGTAGAGGCGACTAGGGGGCCTTTAGGCGAGCTGGTTAGTGGCCTAAGTGGGTGAGCAGCTCCTAAGGTAGGCGAGTATCAAGCAATGGGTGAGCAACCCATGTGGGCGGCGTACAGGACAGGACAGTGTGGCACGTAGGGGCTGCGGGGTACACGAACCAGGCCACTGCTCAGGTGTTGCCCAACGTAATCCAAGGAGTGCCGCAAGTTGTACAGTCAGATGGGAGAACAAACCAAGTAGTCCAAACTAGTGGGCGAGCAACCCAACAATAGGAGGGGAGAAAGTTGGGCGCCATTGACCAGGCGTCCCACGCATCGGGCGAGCTTCCCTTAGCGCCAGGCAGTACAGGTGAA